GGGAGAGGGAGAGGGAAAGTACATGTGAAAATATTAATAATTTAATAAAAAAAAGAAAAAAAATTATTTCTAAAAAAAAAAAAAAAAAAAGAAATTAGCCATGAGTTTGAAGGTGAGCAGGGGGTAGAGTATGGGAAGGGTTTGGAGGCTTGGAGGAAGGGGAAATGATGTAAACATAGTACATAGATATAAAATTTAATAAGCTATAGTTTTGGTAAAATTGGAATATCAGTAATAAACACAGTATAGCAATTAGCCTGAAAAAGTTAAATGTCTTCCAGAGATGACAGTTTCTAGAAAAGACTTAAAGAATTAATAACAAGATTAAAAATATTATAAGAAACCTTAGACCCATGTGATTTAAACAATATTTTTAAAACAGAAATTAAAAAAAAAAAAAAAAGACAGACGCTGGAGATATGGCTCTGTGCTTAAGGGCACTGACTGTACTTCCTAAGGACCGGGGTTAAACTCCCAAGTGCTGGAGGCAGAGGCAGGTGGATTTCTGTGAATTTGAGGCTGCCCAGGTTTATACAGAAAATTCCAGGCCAGTCAGGGAAACACAGTGAGATCCTGTCTAAAAAAAAAAAAAAATCCATGTGAACAAGCAAGATTTTCATATACCATTTACTACATTCTCCTTTGTAAACTGGGAATTTGCAAATAGCTGCACTGCATCCCTATTTCCCTACCATCTGACTCTCAACCTTAAACTATCCTCCTTAGGCTATGAATGAATAGCTGTTAGGCAGTCACTGATCTGGGGAGCCAAAGAGACAGCTACTGCCTTTAGAGTGCAGACACAATTGCAAACAGACTGTAGACAGGCAATCACTCAGAGTCACTGGAGGTGGCTAGGGGTACTGCAGAAGGAAAGGACACTCTGAGAACAGGGTAGATGCAAAGACATGCAGAGGCAAAACAAACAGGCAGGGCAGCCTAATGCCTGGAGGAAGAAGGAAAGAGATGACCTGGGAAGAAAATGACTTCATATGGTGAATAAGTGGGCACACGTTTAAAGGAGCAGCCTGTAGGTGTTTTCACCTACTACTTGTTTAATTCTTAAGATTACGGTGCTGTAATTACATCCACCCAAAGGCTGAGAATCAGAGGCTCAACAATGCAGGTCACAGAGATCAAACCTAGGCAATCTGGCTCAGAAGGCACACCACCAGCCTCAGAATAGAGTCTAAGTCAAAATTTCCTAGATCCATCATTAATAACTCTACCTTGCATAGCTTTTGCTGTACCCAAGAACAAGTTTTAATATTTGTTTTATATTAACTCATCTCTTAAAACAAAATTTGAAGAGGAACTAAAGGATAATATCAAAATGTCCTAAGAGGTATAAAAAATTAGAATGGGCAAGGGCTCCAAAGACAAACAACAAACAAACAAACAAACAAAAACTGGATTCAGGGTTAGAGCATAAAGATGACCTGGCATGCCAAAGGGCAGTACTGGAATGCCAAGAAAAGTTACCAAGATCATCTCAGAAAGATGTCGGCTCCCACAAGTAGGAAGCAGCCAGGGTGGAGGGTCTGACAAAGTCACAGGGGTAACAGATGAGGGCTTGTCCATATGGCTACTGCCATGGAAAGATGGAGTTCAGGAACTGAAGAATAAAAGTGGGTGGATGAGACAGGGGCTGGGCTGAAGTTATGTTAGGAGAGTTAAGATGAATGATGGAAAAAGATGCTGTTTACACTTGATCTTAGCTAAAAGGCTCAGAAGAACAGAGGCGCTGCTTAGAAAGTTAAGGGAAGGGCTAGAGATGTTGTCCAGTGGGTCGAGTGCTAGCAAACACAGCCCCAGATTCAATATTCAACACCCTATAAAACTGAGCATATGCCTCTAAAAATTACTGCTGGGGAGGTAGAGGCAGGCGTATCCAAAGTTCAAGGTCATCCTCAGCCACACAGCAGGCTAAAGACAAGCCTGAGTTATTGGAGACACTGTCTTGTGTCTCCTGGGAGAGAGGAAGGGCTGTGTTACTGAACAGCAGACATTCACCTCAGCACCATTGTTTCCTCCCAGAAGTCTCTCTCATCCTCAAACCATAAACATCCACTCTCCTGTCTCCTGCAGTGCCCAGAACACTAGTTTAACCGAAGGCTGATAAAAGCTAGTTGGAGGTCACAGCTAGAATAACCTAGGTTATTAATAGCATCTTATCTTCCTCAACAGAATCAACAAAGAAAACTTAGCAAGTTACAGTGACTCAGTATCCAATTATGTTATTGTAAGTGGTTGAAAAGGAAAATTAGAAGTGAGTCTCTTGAAAGATTTTGTTTTGTTGTAGTTTCTATTTTTCTTTGAGTCTCCATTACAGGAGAGGCTGGTTTCAAACTCAATCCTCCAGCCTCTGTACATGATAAAATGTAATGTTGTAAGACCATCCCAGATTATAAACCATTTCTCAATGGCCAGGAGGGGGGTCAAACATGTTCCTCTGAAAAGCAACTTTAGGAGTGGTGCTCCAAAGAGTCTCAGGTAACCCAGTGGTTCCCACCCTTGTGTGTCATCCCCTCACCCCTTAAGTATGCAAGAGACCCATGACTTGCCTGATTCTAACCAGGAATGTCAAAAAAGTGTTGGCAAATCATCCATCTTGCTAGCAGTCTCTATGGCTCTCCGTTGCCTTCAAAGAGCAAGTAGCCATGCTGTGGCCTGCTTAAGGACAGTGCCCATGGCAGGAGATGGCAAGCAGCCATCTGTCCACCAGCCAGCCAAAATCAAATGAAGCTCTCAGATCTATGGTATAAGAAAAGGAATTCTGCCAACAGCTGAAGCTTGGAAGCAGGTTCTCCCTTGGCCAAACCTCCTGATGAGCTCACAGCCCTGAATACCACCTGGACTGCAGCTTTTAAGCCCCAGAGTAGAGCACAAATCATGCTGTGTTTCACTTCTTCAACCACAGACAATGGGATTAATAATAAATATATGGTGTTTCAAGATGCTAAATTTATGGTAATTTATTATATAGCACTGAAAATACAAAAATCTTAATATGTAAAAAGAAAAGGAGAAAAGTAGTATTGAGTTACTGGCCACATGGAGTATTTATTAATGAAGATCCAGAGGTCAGTCTTCAATGCTCATTTCCATGATTTTTAGAGTTAATTCCTTGTCATGATTACTGCCATTTTTGACACTGGGGAACTGAACAGATGGGGACAGTGATGTGTTAAGACAACATAATTCTCTGGAAGTCTCAACCTTTTCATAGTCACTGTCACCTTCAATGACATCCACAGAAGTTTCCTGGTCAATTAAACTGTCAGAAATTCTTGGATTATTTTCATTCCAGGTTGAGGCTTCAAGATCTGTCTCATCATTGACCTGTTGAACTGTAACACCTGAATACTTGAATCTGTGAACAGGTATTAAAAATTCACCAGGTAAAGAGAACATCTTGTCTTCATCCTTCGGCATAGATGACAACATGTCCAGGGCCTCCTGGAACTGCTGGCGCTCTTGCTGAATTAATGTATCATCATTACTTACAAGTTCAGTATGTTTTGAAATCAGAGCCTTTTGAAAATCAAGTTGATTCAACATTCTGAAACTGTTTTGCTTTTCTGGCTGTTCCTCAGATATGCATCCCAAGTCAACCTTCAGGCCATGCAGCAGGTAGCGCATTTTCCCCTAGGATTAAGGAAAGAAACATGTAGTTATGAGGGTCATTACATTAGTAAATAAACTGAACCACTTCTGTCTCAGAGGATTAACATTCCCACAGCTCTTTCACCCCTTCACCTCACAGAAAGCACAAGGGGAAAGTACCTGTTTTAAATGCCTTCATTTAGCATATACAAAAACATTAAACTCTAAAGAAAGACAAACCTCCTCCAAATGGTGTTTATTTTGTTTTATATGCCGCTCAAACAGTCGCTCTAAAAACCTACAAATGATAAAGAAAAACATTAATATCTTAAAATCAGATAATCTATTCAACGTAAAATAGGTACCTAATATAAAAAATGACAAAGGCTGGAGAGTGGTTTCCAGATGAATGGTTTTCTCTGTGAAGTTGAGACTAGTCCTTCCTGTTCTGTCTACTTCTCTAACCTGGCAGGCAGCCTGGCATTGGTTACGCATAGAAGTGATATAATAGTTACCAGGGTATCTGAAGAACTGTGTACTGTTTTATGTTTCTGTGAGTGTTTCAGGGGAGGCACAGTACTCCCTGTAAAGCTCTCTCCATAAGATGCAGACACTAAAAGCTCCCTATGTTCCTTCATCAAAGCCTAGAGAAAATGCTCTCACAGATCTAGATCATCTTGATTGATGATAAGCCTTCAAAACAACCTCCAAATGATTGCCAGGTATTTATGCTAGACATACAATCTGCCCCCACCCAATCCCAACACGGTGTGTTGCATAGCCCTGGCTGGCTTGGAACTCTTAAGATACCAGGCTGACCTGGAATTCAGGGATCTGCCTCCTTAATAGGATTAAGGGCATGTTTCACCAAGCCTGGCTCACACAAGCAGTTTTATCTCTTTTCCTGCCACAGCTAGGGCATGAAAGTGAAAACCATGTTAAAGATGAGAAATTACATCCCCTAAGGTCACAAGCCCTTCTGAGAATTTAACACACAGAAGTGACTAGCCTCAGGGAATGTATTCTATCTAGACCAGGCCCAGAATCACAGTAACCTGCCAACAGGTTTCTGGGGGGGGGGGGACACGACACTACACGGGGACAGGACCTACTTTCCTTGGTCACTCAAGTTACCAACATTCATGCTCCTCAGTGAGATGAGACCATCCACAGAATAGGAGGTCTGGATTATTCTGTCAGTTTTAAAAGAACAAGAAACTTGTATCCTACCTACTCTTTATTGCTACTGTATTGGGTACATACACACACACACACACACACACACACACACACACACAAATGTAATAAAATTTTGAAAGTTTGCTTTGATTCCCATAAAAGTTTCTGATAGCAGAATTTTAGAGGCTTTCCAAAAAGTTAGCAAAAATTCATTATACAGTTTGATATAGCCAAGTTATAACAATATTTAAATGAAAAACTCTATTGTTTTCTAATTTACTATTTTTATACTTTATTACCAATTATAAAAACATAATCATAAAAAGCAACATAACTTTTTATATCTCTTAATAAGTAACTTTAAAAAATCCTGTGTGAAAAATAGTCAATGTACATCCCAATTCCCAAACACATTAAAAAAAAAAAATCTCTAACCTGTTGGAAAATAAACCAAGTTTCAATATTTCATCAGTCACATTTTCCATGAAATTCAGGTAGAGCAGCTCTTCTTCACTGCAGAGGAACACAGTGCATCAGAACCGTCACACAGCATGAGAGGTCAGGCAAGAACACCCCACTCCACCATTACAGGGACTGCTGCTACCCATGAGTATATTCTCAGGTTCCAAAAGGAAAGTAATAAAAGTGAGAAAATATCACCTGATGGGGTAAATTTTCTCTTAGTGGAACATTTATCAGGAGAAAGACAAAGAGGGTACCACCCAGGGAAGCAGGAGGGTAAGTAACACTTATCGAGTCTTGCTCAGCATCTTGTGTTCAAGTTGGGAAATTCACTGAGCAGAAAGATTGCTTTTTTTCTCAAAATCCTTATAAAAGAGGAAAGAATTTCTAATAGGCAAATTTATGGATGAAAAATACAGTAGTGATTTTTTAATTGGACACATTTCTTATTATACTACCTCATGTCTAAAATTTAGTACCCATTATAAGAAAGTTAGGATACTATTGCAATTGATTTTACTTAGTTGAAATGAATGGGAAATGGCAAGTAGCTATTCAGTAGATGAATAAACAAATACAGGGGACAGGGGGTTGTGTAAACTAGCATGTGTAAAAACCAATCCGCAGGAATTTGCTTAAGAACAAATCAATGAAATTATAAAATGGATTACTTTCCTGAACAATCTAACTTAAAAATGTAACATATCCATAGAAAGCAATGATGACAAGTCTGCAAAGAGGTGCAGTCACAAACCTCCCAAGAGGCCCCTGAGCTCCAAATCTTCTCCCATGGGTTGACTAGTTTAAATTATTAAAAATAAGCAAGAATATGACACACTAACTATTAGAAATTATTAGCAGATATTAGTAACTTCAGGACACATTCCCACTAAAGATGCCCAACAATTGGTCCATCAGCATGGATTAAAGGACTGATATGCTCCAAAGCTGGGTGTGGAATGATGAGTTCAAATCTTAATATGGTTTCCCTAATTCTGCTTCCCACTAAAGTAGAAAGAGGTCAAAAGGATCTTACTCAGGATAGATTTTACTGTCTGAAGAAAGTTGTGTGGAGAGCTCACAGAGTGTCCTAGAAAAAGAGAAAGGTAAAATATTTTAATGATAACAACAAGGTTGGCATACAAATATTACATGATGGATAGTCTACATTAGTAATGATATGCTTTGGAATTCCTAAGTGTTTTCCTACCTGTAACTTAATTCTGTGGGAGTATGCACCCATGTGTGTGCACATGTGCTAATACGTGTTGTTTGGGCAATGACTTTTAAGGATGGGGAGTTAGTACTCAACCTACTGTGGTCTTATAAATCAAGATCTCTCTAGTAAGGGCCTGAGGGGGAAGCTGGGCCCTGAAGGGTCCATGCACTCTCTTCCTGTCTGCTCCTTGGGAATACTCTTCTCCCTTCATCTCATACCTAGTCTCCTACACCAGAAATGTAGCTGATAGCCGAAATTTGCTGGTCCACATTTTTGCTAGTCACTAAGCATGGGGTGCAGTGTTTAAGAGCATCTCCCAACAGCAGGGCAGACCAAACACTGGCATGTGGGAATGTTCCACATCACAATTTTTTTGGCTTTTGAAAATTAATTATTGTGTATGTACCTGTGTGCATATATGCAGGCAAGTACCATGAGATCAGAGGAGAACTTTCAGTTCTCTCCTTCAAGTATCATAGGTGGTTCTGGGAACCAAATTGTTTATCAGGTTTGCATGGCAAGCACTTTCACTTGCTGAGCCAGCTTGTCGCCTACAAGTCACACAGCTCATCAAATGGTAAGGTTCTTCAGTATTATTGGTATCATAGGACCTGGTTAGTATCACTTCCTGAGGACTGGCCTTGAGACTAATCCATTCTAATAGAGGAGAGCTAGCAGCTACTACACACTAGCTTTCCTCCCCCTTTATTAGCAAAACTAACTTTTATTGAAGCACTTTTATAAAATTTCCTTAGTAAGACTAACAGTGCCACAGAATTGTATTACGCTAAAATATATTAGCAGATGTAATTAAAATAATACTTAAGGGTAAATGCGGTGTGTCTATTACATAGGAAAGCAAATGGAGGCAGGATTTCAATCTGCAACCAAGGCTGACCACAAACTTGTAGTGATCCTCTTGCTCAGTCCCCCAAGTATGTAAGGTGCCACTCACCTTTTGGAGGACTGCTGTAGAGCCCCATCTTTAATCTTGTCCCATCCTAAGGTTTGTCCTTCTAAGGGTAAAGGAGATATTTTGTCTTCAGCACCATTTATCATATAATTAGGTGCCTGGAAATGGAGCAAAAAGAATAAATTTTACTTTGTTTCAAAAGTATGTTCTTAAAGAAATAAAACCGCAAGCATTAATAAAAAGTAAATACATAAATGTACCTGATATATTAAAACAAAAACAGAATAGTCTACTGAAACATCACTTTACTCATGTTAATGAGAAACATTTCAAACAGCATCAGGAAATTATAAATAACAGACTAAGGAGGAGTCTGCATTTGTGACCCCAGCCCTGAAAGATGGAAGCATGAGGGTCACAGGTTCCCAAGTCACAGGTCACCTGGGAACCTGGGAAGAGAGACTCATTTCACCATGAGTAGTCCATAGCCAAACCTTTTAAATAATTAATTAATTAATTAATGGTTTTTTGAGACAGGGTTTCTCTGTGGCTTTGGAGGCTGTCCAGGAA